TAATTCAAGTAGGCCCTTGTCTTTTTGGTAGGAAGTACTAAAGAAACTTATCAGACCCTAACTAAGCTAAGCTTTAGCTTTATATGCAAAAAGTCTAAGAGTTTCCCAATGTGCCATAAGGAAGCCTAATACTTTTGTTACAATTTAATTCCAAAAGCCCCAAACTTCTATTAGTCTGGAAGGATCTCTCTTTAAGTATAATACAGTAATCATTATAATTCTGTACAATAATAAAGAAACATCTGAGTCATTCTTTCAGTTCTGTTTAATACAGTACATTGTTACGCAGAAGGCATATCAAAGCCTACAGAAGCTCATGCTTTTTACTAATAAGAAACACAAGTGCCTCAGCCTGAGAGAGTATCACTGACTTTCTTGATACTGGTGCTTAAGACTATAGCTTAAACATAAGTGCCTTAAGCATAAGCATGTCAGGATAGTCAATTGACTTACTTTCTCAATTAAACCCACCACAGCATAATAGTAAATAATTATCTGATTTTTAAATGTGAGTGTTGACATTTTTCTTTGATTGACCAGAGCCGAAGGCAATCTTTAACCTACTCTTACAGTATCTCTGATGATATATTTGCAACGAGGCAAAGAGGTCTATGTAAGATGCATATATGGAATCTAAGACATTACGTAACGGCACCTGCTATTTTAGTTAGTGACCAGGCCTGAGTTATATATTTTGAGATACCTCTCCCTTCAGACTGCTTCTAGCTTTGCTGGTAGAGCCCTCATTTCTTCGAACTCAGTGTGATTTGAAAAATTTGTGTAAGATTGATTGTGGCCAAGCATAAAATACACTGTAGTAAATTTCTGATTTGATATATGAGCTTTTCTGTTTCATCTATCAAACTCACTTTTAATTCCATGTATTAGTTTTAAATACGATATTGTCAGCTGCATGTTGTCAAAATCCGCCCCCCTCCGCAATTACAGTGTTAACAGATGTATGCAAAAAGACTGAGCCAATTTCACCAGGCTTCCACCATAAAGAGATACTCAGTCATGAGATCTAGGGGGTGGCATCAAAGCTTGAAGACTTCTCCTGCCAAAAAGACAGATGGACATATGAAGAGTTAGTAATTTTAGTGTAGTCACGGCAAAATCCTTCTGCATAAGTGAATTAGTGAGGCTGGTTTGAAGACAGTTAAGTTTTATTTATGATGCCTTTTGGCGGGGGGGGCAATGGCATAACAGGGAAATAAAGCAGTCCCTAGATTTTTGTGGTTATGCTGTAAACATTTTCTGTTCTTCAGAACATGCAATTAGTTTATAATTGCCAAAATTCACTAATAGTAGTAAACACTGACTAAACACTAGCAAGCCATAAAAATCCATGAAAAGAGCGAATGCTAAGCCAGAAGTTGTCTAGCAGCTTGCTCCTCACCTATTTAGTTCAAATTTGTTCTTTTTTCTACTGTTTGCCTTGGCAATTGTATATAAGAGCAGCTGACATTTAGCAATGGGCAGCCCTTAAACACAACCTCAAGACCTAGCCAAGTAAATTAGAGATCAGTCACTACCCGTATAAAGAATGATGGAATTTATGAGGATGCTTGAGCAGAAGTCTCTTGGCAAATCCAACAGAATTTCTGTTATTCTCTTGTCTAGGGTCTTTTTCCTTTGGACTTGTGCTCACAGATTTTGTTACAAATAGGGACTTCTGTTTCTGTCGAACCTGAACAGCACAGCCAATATTTTTGTCAATGTATAACACAAACTCAGTACAGAGTCTGTCCAAAAGAAGGCTGCGTTTTGCCCTCTTTTCTCCCCAAGGTTCATTTTATTCAACACAACTTAGTTTCAGAGTTTTGCTGCTTACTATCATTTTGATTCCTTACAAATAGGACTATCTTGTGAGTCATTTTCTTGCTCCTTTTTCTCCAAGTTACAGCCAGTGCTGAGCAATAACTGGCTACCAGCTGCATGTGGTCACAGCTAGAAAACTCCTCTGTCTCTAAGCCTGTTAGTCATTTTGTAAGGATGGTTCTCTTGAAGCAATCTTTCCTGAAGTTGTTTAGCCACACTTGTGTATGGACATCTTCAAAATGAACAAGACAAAGTAAGGTCAAAGAAAAAAGTATTTTAGATTACTTTTACTTGATTTTATTTAAACAGTGTAGTCCTAAGAAAGACAGAGCTAAATCTCTGGAGGGTATCTGTTGTAGAAAATACCTTTATCTCTGTGCTCAGTAGATGCTCTTTTTAGTAGGGGAATGGGTCAGTAAAACTTCTGCTCTCAAATTTCTGCATAATACAGAAATTGGATTCATTTTTGTTCATTCTGACTCAGATCACGGGCAGGTTTAGATCCTAGTTTCATAGTCAATTTTCTGTCCTCTCTTGATTCAGTACAGAACCATGGATTTAGGAAGTAATCATAATGTAGTCAGTCTAGGAGCTGAATATTAGATGACTCTTTATTATAGCTGTGTAAACGGAAGTCTGGTGTCTAAGATTGCACCTACAGTTGTCTGTGCATAATGATTTGCAACTGCAATGAGTTAGAAATATTTATGTGACTGTAATTTATCAGATATATGCACAGTTTTGGGCATAGACTCTGAGAAAGGACTCTGAGAGCAAGTATAGAAGTCAGAATAAAGACCTTTGTAAACATGGACCTTTAAAGTTATTCTGACATAGAGTTCCTGTTTTGCTCAAATATTCTGTAAGTAAATAACTGTGATTATATTCTAATGATTACAATAAGTTTCAATTACAACATATTTTAAATCTATAGAAGCATACTTTTTTACTCACAGCATTTTTCATCCAAGGTGCTCACAGTGATTTACAAAACCAAACTATTATATCCTACTACCTGCTTCCTCAGACCCTCCATCCCCATGCCATTAAAAAGGACATATATTTTATCTTGTCTTATGAAAGAAATAAACTATATACAATAGAGAGAAGAATAAACTATAGACAACAGAGAGGTGAAGTGACTTATTCAAAGTCACGCTTATATACTTTTTGTAATGCTTTTCAAAAGTGTAACCTTCTAAAAAGTATGGCAACGTTATAGCATACTTACGTTTTTAGAAGTCAGTTGTGAATGGAAATTTGCTATCAGAGTACATTTCAGAAAAACAAATTGGAAGACTCTATTATAGTCTATATTTCTGTTTGTTTTTTTAGATCGGCTATCAGTTCTTAAATTTCCAGTGGTATACAGATTTGCAATACTATCTAATAAGCAATATGAAGAAATTCGGAAGAGATTTTTGAAAGAGTATTTTCAAAGTTCTTTGCACAAAATCAAGAATGGAAAGCCTACGTGAGTGAAGTTTAAATAAATCCCTGTAACATCATTTTATTATGTTATGTAGAACAGCATATGGTTAAAATTTCAGTTCCTATAGGTCATTAACTTCCTGCATAGAGCTTCTGAGATAACTAATATATTACCTACTTAACCACTGCAGTCTGTGGTCCCTTAGGATTTGAAAAAAAGAGCGTGTCCATGCTAAAAGCAAAATTAGGCTACCCGTTAGGTACAAAAATGGAGAAATTTCCTAGGATGTCTGTTCCAAGTAATCCTTTTCTCTTCTGCCATTTTTTGGAGAATTCAGACACATGATTATAAAACTTAGAACTGATTGCATATACTGTTAGGTCTGATTTTTCTTATCAATTTGTAAAGTTAGTAGATTTTATTATTTTATTGAATATGCCATGTCTGGCATTCATTTGCATTACTTTGGTATGAAGGTATGACCTTCAGCTGATGTATGACCTAAATCCTAAGGCCAATAAACCACTATAAATTTCATGTTAAAATAAAATGTAAGTCTCATGCTAACTTCTAAATGGCTTGAGGTCGCTTCGAATGAAACTACAAGATCTTTTGACTGTTAAGAGTCTTTTACTTACTTAGAAAGATCCTCTTGCTTTGGCTTAATTCTGGCACCCCAGGGTCAGCAGTCCATTTATTTTGCTTTGAATTCTTTTGCTCAGAACATACCTTGTTCCAGCAACATTAATTTTTCAGAAATCTAAGATCATAGATTACATCTGTAAACAGCCAAAAAGGAAATCAAATTACAGAGGATACAATCCCAAATCAGGCATCTGACATACAATTGAAAGTCAACTAACAAGAGAGAGCTATGAATTCTCTTTGGAAACTCCTCAATATCTGCCAGTCCACTGGTCTAAATAATTTTTCTTCTATCAACACAGAAAAATAACAAATCAAAACAATTGCTTTAACATAGAATTGATATTAATGTGATATGCTTTTATTTTTTCCTTAAATCAAATTTACAGTGGTAGGAAGGCTCGCCATAGCAGCTCTATATCAGAAATGAACAAATTGGCAGCGCGTCTGCCTGGAAGCATATTGGCCAGATCACAGGGTTCCTCTATACTCCATTTACTGCCAGTAGGACAACTGGTCCTGGCAGTTAACTCAGAAATGGAGTAGTGCAGCAAGCCTTCAAAAAAGTGACGGGCCTGGGGTGGCATCAGTTTCACTGTCCAGCTGTGTCTGAGTGTGAGGCTTTCTGCGCCGAGTCGTGCCATCATGGCTCCGTCTCTTGGGAAGAAGGACCCACAGCTGAATCACAGAACTAGCGCTCTGGCTCTCTGCAGCTGCTTCTGGAAGTACAATACCTAGGGGAAACTCTTTCGCAACAACTTTTGAAAGAGTGAGCGAGATCTTGTGGAAAGTGTTTGTTGTGCTTTAATCTTGCATGGCAATCATCCCCAAATTCAGCAAAAAAAATAAAAGAATTGCTGGAAAGACAGAATAATCTCAATAAAATTAGTGCAGATTTTCAAGATAATCATAATAACAGATATTTAATAGAAGAATATAAAGTCAAGTACAACATTATTTATATGTACATTTTTTATATAAAATAACCAAATGATATAAAATAATAATAAATATTATTATTAAAAGCACTAGAGATGGAATCTGAACATTTTACTTTAATGAGCTTTCTTTGAACTGCCATATACATAGCTTGAAACAAAAATAACACTGACATACAAAGACTAACCATCCCTATTGCTGTAGTTAAAAACCTTACCTTTGTAGTCTCAGATAATTGTTTCTGAACCATCACAGGACCATGGAGGAAGAAGACCTACCAGCTATAATTACTGACTCAAAAAGTCTCCCATAAGATCCTATTCTGGAAACCAGATACTCATAGGGGCAGAGGTAAATGACTGTCCTGGATGGGAAATTCACTGAGAGATTGGAAACAAAGCACTGATGGCTAATGGACATTTTTCAGCACTGCAGAAGTCCTGTTGGGGCATACTGGAGGTGAACTTGCCTAATGAATTAATCAATCATTTGGTAAAAGTACACAAATGGTGAGGTGATAGATTTTGCAAGTAATACAGAATTCTGTCAGCTAGACAAAATCAAAGAAAAATGTGTAGCATTTCAGAAACCCAGTGGGGTTAGATGAACAGATAAGAGATGATAGCCAAAGAACGCATATTGCGAGGAGCAATCTGAAAGAACAGGAAAATATGTTAAGATGCTAATGATAAAATTCTAAAACAGTTTGAGCTATATTTTCAAATGCTTTTATTGTTTAGAAGAAATATCCTTATAAACTCAACATGTGAAATAATTCTACTATTGTTCCACAGTCTTAGGTTTTAAATTAATTTAATTAATGAGGAAAAGGTACAGAGCTATTTATGAATGATTCAGTGGAACTACCCTCTCCGTATGCAGTAGAATGGATACAGACTTCCTCAGCTGGAATGCTGCATTCAGCTCTCATAGTCCTTTTTCAAAGCGATAATACAGGAGGGACTTCAGGTGATTCCCCTGTGTTGGGAAACAGAAAAAACTAGTCAGCTGACATAAGAAAAAAATGGAAGGGAAGAACATAAAGTAATAACTAAGACGGTATACTGTGCACTTTTAATTAGCATTTTTCATAATAGAGGGTAAAGAGAGATACAAAGGGATGTAAAGGAACTACATTTGAAATAAGAGGTTTTAAAACGTACAGAACACAGTTAATTCTGTGAAACTCACTGACAAATAATACCACTGTCAGAAAGATGTTAGTCTTGCGAGAACGTTCATCTTTGCATTAGAATAAATATATACAAGACACATTATGTCCATCACTAAAAATTAAGAGTTAGAAAAAAGCTGCCAGTGCATGAGTCATTCCCCAGTTGTCAGAATTTTTATCCTTCTGAAATATCTCATACAGTTTGCTGATAGAGATGTGACACGGGGTCACATGGGATAGTAGAGTAGGACAGCAATTCCTCTGCTCAGAAAAGACTTGCCAGACCCGACGCTAAACTATTTGCATCACTAGCTGAAGTGATTAGCAGGGAATTGGTTGCTTGACAACCGTGTTAGCCCCGGGTCATTTTCACGCTATTTATGAGCCTATGTTCTATTTGCATCAGATTTATTAGCTATCCCTTTCAAAGGGAGGAAAGATGAGGCGGGAAGCTGACTGCTGCAGATCTCCACAGATGAATGAGTCAGGGTTGGCCTTGAAAAAAAAAAAGTGTGTGGGAGAGGCACATGGAAGAATGGAGATACAAAAATGAAGCAAAGACATTTCATATCTGAGGTTAAAGAATGACTGTAAGCACAGACTGACCTCAGATCCACTCATTTCTCCACACCTGACCTCCTCATGGGTGAGCTGCAGCATATCTATCCAGATGTTACTTATGGTGTTTGGACTTGTGGGGTCCCATGTATCTGCGCAAACAGCCTGGAGCTTTTCAATGGTCAGTTCTTCCAGGCCTGCTTTGAAAAGAGCAACAATCTTTAAGGAAAAGCAAATACAAAACAATGGGGAGAAGAAAATCAAACAAAAAGGATGTAAAAATAAGACTCTGCACGTTCTAATTTTGGTACCTGCATCACTTTTCTTTTAAAAATTACACAGATAATCAAATGTTGCAATGACATATATATGATAAAGCATTAAATCATCAAAGCACTAGTTCATAAATACGATGTGATTCTTAGTAATTCTTAATCTAAAATTGAGCTATTTATGCAATGCTTTGGTAGCATTAATATTCTTGTAGCTGGTCATCACACTGATGAGAATGTGTTCAGTAATATTTTTGAGATGACTTTTCTTGATTTGTAGATACTTGCTGGGGTTTCTGGTTTTGTACTTTTTTTTGGTTGCAGGGCACGGTTAGACTCCAATGCCTGTATTTGTGAAGCCTTCCTTTTTGCAGCAGTCAGCTATTGGTTAAGAATAGCTACATTATATTGTCATTAAAAATTCATTAAAATGAGTTGTGGCAGCCTGTGAGAAGCATCCAATTAAGCAGTTCAGTTTCTACACATAAGGCTACAAATGAGCAGTCTTCTTGCTTTTCAATAATGGATCACAGACTGCAGTTAGTAGCTGTAAAATAATTGATAAGGCAAAAGTTATTTGTAAAATACATACTAGAAGTAGAAAAGTAGATTAGAGAGGATGATTTTGCCTTGGGACCTTCCTCTGACTGTGGGAAAAGTACAGCGTTCTTTGATTTAATTTTTACATAGCCTGGGGAAAGCTGAAATGCCATATCTAATCATTCAATATTTTGTGTTTCTGACATGTATTATGTATCACTGAATCTTCAGAATCAGGGATGGAAAAAACATCTTAGACTTTATTCACCCAAAGCCATCACAGGACAGTAAATATGGCTCGACAGCGGAAAAGACTCATGAGTTTTTTTGATTTATCCAGTATATCTTATTTTGTTGCTAGCACGTTGATGGACTCGTAGACTTGTTTCACAGCGAGTGCCTACGCTGCAGTGAGAGGCACGGGGGCAGTCCGTGTGGGCGTAGCTGAGCTAGGCTCAGCAGCAATAGTGGTGGAGGTGTGTTGGCACAGGCTTGCCCATGGGACTATCCATCTTACTGATTTCCCAGGATTGGCCCATGCTGCTCACGGGCTCCCAGGCTAACGAAGTTAAAGCTAGTTCAGGTATGCTGCACGTTTTATCAAACTGCTTCTCCATCCGTGGTATAGACACACCTTACATTACAAACTGGTTCTGACACAGTGGTGAAGAATCACTGATAAGGAACCTCTTGGACCCAGGAGGTATTCCCTCAGAGCAACTAAGCTGCTCTCAGTATAAGACAATGATAAGGTAAGAGGACCAAGGCCAGCCTTGTGCCAGCCTTTTGTTTCTCCAGCCCTAGGGATGGCCAGGGACTAAGCTAGGCTTTTGTGTAAGTTGCTATATCCCAAGTTACGGATCACATGCCTTTTTTCCAGCAGATTTCAGATTCAGTTTTGCCTTGAATACATCTCACTTTCTGCCACTTGCTGATTATTTCCCGCCTGTCTTCACTTATTGATATTAGTTTTAATTTACTACTTTGTTTAATTGCCGATTCCAACGCGCTGTTTCTAAACGTACCTTCTGGTTAGCATCAAAGCCCTATGTACAAGCGGGGTCTAAATTCCATGGGACATTGGTGCAGCAGACTGGAAACTTTTTGGCCATTCCATTTATATTTAAAATGTAGACTTTAATTGAATTAAACATGAAGCAAAGCACTACAAGCTGAACAGTTTTCTTTTTTTCTTTAACCTGGGGGTGAAATTACAATTCATTTTGTCTCTACGGTGCAATATTTAATGAGATACAAAATTTGGTACGGAGTGTACTTTCATATCAAAGGAGGAAACCTATGGATGTGGCAGCTTGCAGAGGGCACCTGAGATGCTTGGAGCTTTTAAAGGCATAGAAAACAGGCTGACAAAGCCTATGCTGCAGGGACGGAGGGTGTACTTTGCAACACAGCTAAGGATCAGCTGCCACTGGAAAGAGTTTTGTGCTCTCTCGTTCTCCCCCTTCCACCTCCAGCCTTGTGTTCCTGCCACTTCCCTTGTGACGGCATTGGCATCCACCTAGCCCCATGGTGAGGCACAGTGGGGAGCTAAATCAGCGTGCGACTAAACTTACAAAACCGGGAAGAGTCTTCTACTAGTTTAAATCTGAGATATTCATAAGGCATGAGGGAAGAAGGCAGAGCACATTGCTGCAGCAGTGAGTGGACTCCTTTTTCATGGCACAGGCTGTAAGACTGGCTTAGCTGTACGGTGAATCTGCACTTGGAGCTGCGTAAGGACAAAGCTCTGCTTTTCAGGACACGGCCTGGGTTCTGCTGACTCCTGGCATTCAATATAGTAAATTGTATCGCTAGAATTTCAGCTAAGTTGGTTAGGTTACAGATTTGACACCGTAACGCAAGAAGAGCTACTCATGGGTCTGCCAGAGACATTGTTTCTGACTGGCTGCAGGCTCAGCAAGTCAGTACTTTGAACCAGGTTTTCAGTATTATTTGAATACTGCTGTGGTTTTAACGGCCCAACAAGGTACACCTCACTGTAACATGATCTTATGGTGGGAAGAGCCAATTTACAGGTTTGTATATGTTATTGATCTCCCAGCCACTACCATATCATGAAAAAAGAGCAAATCCTGACCTATGGAAAAATGGCAAAACTTCTTGAGGATCAGGATTTCCTATGCCATAGCAGTGAGTGGATATCTGCAAAACCTCAGCAACACACTAATTCTTTCTTAATTTTTTAGCTCTCCCTTGCAGTGGTTTTCAAATAAAGCATTTTATGAGGACTTACATTGTTTAGTACAACATCATTATAAAAGACGTATCTCAATTAAAATCTTATTTAAAAATAAGAGAATAAAAAGTGCTTTTGTAACAATGATGCAAAGTACTCTGCAATTAATTCAAAAAGAAATAAAAATTAGAACTGTATTTGTGCCGTATTTTCTGTATTTTCCAAGGTATACCTTGGAAATAACACACAAATTCATTCAGAAGGTCAATCAGGCAGAAAGCCCAGAGGATAAAGAACGCTTCCTAGAACTAGCTAGAAAAAAGCTTTGCCAGATGCAAGGTACGTACTGCAAGAAGAGCTCAACTTCTGTACTATCTACATACCATATACATTATTTATTTATTTTCCCATGTGGTTTTCAACATCCCTCAACTCTTTCTATACAAGTAGAAAAAAAAGTTTAAAGTTTTAATAATTAGAATACTGAGGCAGTAAAAGTAGTGACATAAATGAAATTAAATCATATGAGGCTGTGATCTTCTTTACAGGGAGGTAGGCAGTGACATTATTCCTTAAAAAAATTCTTTCACAGTGTTTATTATGTGAGGCATGCTATTGTTGTGCCTAGATATCAGAGGAAGTCTTTCTGCCAGGCATAATTAGAACTGTCTGCTTTTGAAGTTTATCTTAGTATTTACAGGGGATCTTCTAAAGCCCAGTCAAATCAGTCGGCAGGCTCCTGGGATATGCCTCCACTGTGCAAAGCACAACAATGTAAAGAGATGCCTGACTTGGTGCTAAGTGAGCCACACTGTGCAGAGCCCTGCAGAGACACTAACTAGAGGCCAGAAAGGAGCGTAACAGCCAAGCTAGTTAAGCCAGAAACAGCCTCCGGTTCCACAGGCAGCTCATTCTCAGCCAATGTGTCACCTTAGTGCAGCCGTACCATGCACAGCATGGACACCCAGCAATGGACCTTCCTACCCTATTATGGTAGGAATTCATGTGCAGTTTGGCCTCAAATTCAAACAAATTCAGACTGTGCCTGATTATCAGACATCCTTAGAGTTTATATGTTTCTCATCACATTATTTACCCAGCAATGTGCAATAATCTAACATCAGTAGCAAGCAGAGGATGATTTAAAATGCAATCTACTGCTTTGTCTCTAAGCTATCACATCATGCAAAATTTCTCCTGCCGAGTTCAATCAAGGCAGGACACTTCTTGCAGCCACCAAAAAGCAGGCAGAGACAGGGGTAAGACTGATGCCAGCAGGGCCAGGATTGTACTCCAGGTCTCAAAGGCTGTATTTCTCTCCAAGGGCATGAAGGACACTGCTTTGTGGTAGAGGTAGCCAATTTAAGCCTAGGCACATAGATTCCCACCTTCTCCTCTGCCCCTAGACATGTATTATACTCTTGCCTTCCCTCACCGTTTGTGAGACCGCGGGTTCAACTGGTGAAGGGAGCTGATCTGTGTGAGACGTAATCACTTTTATTTTCCCCTCTAGTAGAGTTAGTTTTCACATGAGCTTCCTCAACTGGTTTACCCTGTGGTCTCAGATGTTCAGTGCAGTGGTAGGGCTGGGAATACATGGCCTGTTCAGAAGATAATACTGTGGCAATTTAACCAGCTTAAGCTGCCATGAAACCACTGCTTGAGTGAGGTTTTACAAAAAACATAAGCTTTTTCAATCTTATTCTTAATGATCTGGGGTATAGGAGGGACTACCAGAAAATGTAAATGTAATTTAATAGTGTATATCTTATTTCAGCATAATAATGGGATGTTAAATCAGCAAATGGCTTACGTATAGTCAAATGGCTAATTTTGTATCTGAGGTCCCAGTCCTAGTGCTTCAATAAGACTCTAAATATAACAGAAAAAATATACAAATTTTAACTAGCTTATAGTTCTATAAATCTAAGTTTGTGCAAGAGAATTTTCAGCAGTATTATGAGAAACTGTTGAGCTGCAGTGCTGCTTTGATGAATTTTATGTTTCATTTTATTGTCTCCATTAAAATCTTTGCAACTGTTTTGAAAGGAGAAAACAGTAAACACTGCATTTTGAGACCCCAGATGATTCCTTGTGGGCTTCCCAAGCCAAAAATACATAATGTGTAGAAACAGAGTGGTCATTCAAGTTGAAAAGATATTAAAAAAGCAAAATACTTGGCATTTAATAA